AACCGGTCTTTTACCTATTAGGGCTCGGGTATTCTACAGTGGCGTCGGATGAGGGCGCAGACATGTTGGACCACCTGGCCTCAGCCAATCCCGTGTCCCTCTGCGATCCAATGGCATGCGGGGAAGGAAGGCAGCCAACCAGAGAAGGACATGGATGAGATGCAGTATATAATGAGCTGCGTGGCCAGCGAGGTGGACTCGGATGGAAGGGGCCTGACGCGTGGCTCTGGCTTGTGATTGGTCAATAAGGCCTGTTCTGTTGTACCGGTCCTTTACCTATTAGGACTCGGGTATTCTACAGTAGCGATGTATATGGGGGCAGACATATTGCATTAAACTGATGTCAGCCAATCTTCTGTCTGTTTGCGTTCCAATTGCGTACAAGGAAGAGTGGCAGTCAACCAGAGACAGTCACGTTAAAGAAGTGGTGGACTCATAAGGACGGTGCCTGATATGTGATTCTAGCTTGTGATTGGTCAATAAGGGATATCCTGTTGTACCAGTCTTCCAAATACTGGGGCTCGGGTATCCTACAGTGGTGGTAGCAGATGCGTTTGCATAATGCTAATCGACGATGGTAACGACAGTAGAAGCCAGCTAGACTGCAGGAGAAGAATGAGCATACAGTAGATGAAGAACCCTTTTTGCTAGTCAAGAAGAGCAATATCACTTGTCTACTATTCGTTTGGGCCACTGTCCTGTCAGATGTAGAGTATCAGGGAGTGTCGAACTGGATACTTTGACAATCTTTAACAGTGCAAAGAATCAAGATATAAGCTAAGGACAGCTTTCCTCCTGAAGAAGGAGGCAGTGCAGCAACCTATAAAAACGCAGACATTTTGGATCACACCGGACTCGGCTAATTTATCTGTCGCTTTGTGTTTGTATGGCATCCGATGAAGATATGCAGCTAACCAGATACAATGATGTGTCAAAGTCAGTTCATAAAGCTCTGCGCAGCTGTAGAATATCCGATCCCTAGATTGAACAAGATTAGTGAAACTGAACAGGCTATATTACTAATCATAAGCCAGAATCAAATATCAGGCACAGTCCATACGAGTCCACCACGATGACTGCGCAGCTTATTATATACCCAATCTCATACGTGTTCGTCTCCATTTGGCTGCATACCTTCCTTGCTAGCCATAGGAACACCAATAGACGGAGGATTCTCTGAGGCAGGCGGGGTGCAGTTTGTAAAGTTCTGGCTTATGATTAGTCCATAAAGCCTGTTCTGTTGTATCGATTTTTTTAATACTAGGGCTCCTTAATTCTAGATTGGTCGCAGCGAATGTGTTTGGATAACGTTAATCAAACATTAGCGCTTTCCTCGCTGTGGAGCAGAGGCGAAAATCCATAAATATCAGCTGCAGTGGTCATGCCGTTTTATCTTATCCCGAGCATTGGATCCACATATACTGCATGAGATAATGACTACTGCATCCGATGAGGCACTAGCAACTCAGGGACGACTATAAGAACATTAAAATGGGGTTTGATTGCACGTGGATGAAAAGATGTGATGAATGGAGGGGCCTTCCTGCATATCAACAAATGTGGTACTGAGGAATTCCGAAATGAATATTTTACCAATCTTCAAGAGTGTGGAGAACTACGCCATCAGTCGAGGACAGCTTCCCTGTTGAGGTGGAGAAAGTGTAGTGACGTCCAAGGGCTCAGACATTTTAGGCCACGGTGGCCACAGCCAATCCTCTGTCTATGCGATCAAATGGCCCCTAAACACGATATCCGGCTAACCAGATACCACCTATATCTATCTTTTGGACAACAGAGGAAAAGATCCGTAAATGTCATCTGAAGTTGTCATTGTGGTTCATTTAATGTCCCATACATTGGACCCATAGACATTGCCAAGGGTTAGGACTACTGGATCTGAAAGGTCATTGACAACTCAGCGACGACGACAAGGATAGTAGGAGCCAGTTGAAATGCACTAAAAGAAACCTGCAAAAAATCAAGCTGTAGTGGCTAGTTTACGCTATATCATACAAACCTCTAGTTGACAGCCCGTAACAACTCGAGAAGAGTTGAACAAGAGGCGAATTTGGACTAGACCGTTTATAGTGTTAAAAGTGCCAAGTGGCTTTGTGTGTTACGTGTGCGTCACATGCGAATGCTGACAGAGGCGAATAACAGAAAGGGTGAGTCATTGGTACACTCGGCCATAGGACACGCATCACTCACACGAGGTGGCTGTCTGTTCACTACAAAGCGGCCTTCCTGTGTGTCAAAGTACCTAATCTACTATTCACGTGAGCAGGTCCTACCAAATGTGGGGTGTCGAAAAGTGTTGAATTGGATATTTTGACAATCATCAACAGTTGTAGAAACCAAGCCAGAAGCTGAGGACAGCTTCACTCCTGAGATGGAGGTGATGTGATGTTGCGCAGACATATTGGACCAAGCTGGCCTAGGCCAATCCTCTGTTTCTCTGTGTTCCAAAGGCATGCGAGGAAGATAGGCAGCTAACCAGAGAAGGACACGACTGAGGAACAGTATGTAATGAGCGGCGTGGGCAGCGTGTTGGACTTTGATGGAAGGCGCCTGACGTGTGGTTCTGGCTTGTGATTGGTCAATAAAGCATGTTCTGTTGTCCCAGTCTTCTTCCTTTTAGGGCTCGGGTCTTCTGCAGCAGTATAGCCTAGGACAAGGACGCAGACATATTGGACTACACTGACCTCAGCAGATTCTGTCTCTTTTCAGTCGAATATCATATTTGTAAGATAAGCAGCTAGAGAAAGACACGTTCAAGAAACGGTACATAATGAGCGGTGTAACCAGCGTGATGGACTCAAATGGACGGCAGCTGACGTGTGGTTTTTGGCATGTGATTGGTCTATAAGACCTGTTATGTTACATCAGTCTTCTTTATTCTAGAGCTCGGATATTCTACAAACCTACCCTGGCCTTAATGTCGAGTAAATCAAACAATCGGCCTTGCAAACACCAATGTCGATTGAATCAACATTTTACACCCTGTACTCTTTTCGAAATATAGTTCTCCTAAAAAATATAGGGCCTTATTATCTGCTAGGTTTGGCATCTATTTTGCTTATTCATTTTACCGTGCATAATTTTACAAATGCAGTTTTGGGTTTAATGACACTTGTTTTATTACTTATTGATTGGTCAATATGCTGCAGGTATATGGGCGGTATAATTATCAGTTTTGCATGGCGGTTCTGGCCGCTTGAACATCTGATCTCCGGTCGTTGGTGCTCTTTGGGACTTTTTAGACTCACTCACGAACAGAAAAATGTATATGACAGACCAGTATCCAGGGCTGGATGGAAGGTCGTTGGAGAACAGCCATACAAATATTTTTGCCATTGTGAGTTGTTAGTCATATTGATAATGGCCAATTTGTGTCTTCACATCAAATATCATAACTTTTTTGCATTGCAGACTGACCTTAATGGGATACACTACCGAATTTTTAGTCCCAAGGATGATGTAAATTATTCGATCTACGACGACCCCTTTTTCAATTCATACTCTAACTGTGTTCGAAAGAACTTGATGTGTGCATGGGTTCGCAGAAAAAGAGTTGATACCGAACCACAAAAACCTCAAATTTTTTCGAATTTTTCGAAAGAGCTGTGGGTTTTTTGGTACGGAAGTGATGACCCAGTTTCCAAAGAACGCCTTATTTCACCTGAGTTGGAGGAAGTTTCTTCTGGAAATTGGAAAAAAGGGCTAACTTATGAAACTCGATGTGTTCTCTTTAAGGCGTTGCATAATGTGATCGAAAGGTACACTGATTACCCGTTATCCAATTTTGTAGATATCTTCTAAGTAAGGGGTATGTCCGTTTGGGAAAATGGTTTCTCCAGCCATGTAGTGGCCAATCCATTCGTGATAAGTAATGTTTAACAATTGGTAATGACATGTGGTTTTAGAGTCCAGTATAGCATGAATTTTTCGTTCTTTCTTCACGGTGAGAGCACAGTGTGTGCCAGCTTAGATATCCGTCACTTCCAAAAATTTAAATCCCTGACGCCCCGAATTTTGTCATTATGCCGGAAGTCAAAAGGACGAGTAAATGGTACTTGAAAATCTTAATTTTTTCAATTGCTAATGATAACGGTTTTCACGCTTTGTTACTCGTTTTAGTTGTGCTGGCACCCTATGGAATCATTGCCCACCTTATTACGTCTTTCCAGCCTTCGCTCCCTAACGACGCGTCTGTTGAAAAGGAGTTGGAGTTGTGGAAGCGCTTTTATCCGGTGCAGCTCAGTGGGGAAAATTATAACTTTCTAAACTCAAATACCCATTATGGTTCTTTTAATATGGATTTTTTGACACCGAATAAATCGCCCCAGCAACAGGTGTCCAGAATTGATTCCTCCACAAAAAGAATTCCTCCTAACTGCATTGAACAGCTCCCCCACTTTGTGGATGTTCTCATTGGTATGTTATGGCTCGTGGTTTGCTTTGTCTGCTTATGCTTCACCTTAACGTCGTCTCTTCTGGTTATTTTCCAGGAGGATTTAGAACTCGGTATCCTACATGCTTCGTTTTGATAGCAGAGGATGTTCTTTCCTCACTAACGCGAGAACTGCAGGATGCCTCAGATAGACGTGTAATGCCAGCTCCGAATACCAGAAATACAGGGGCCGAAATACACAGTTTATTACACCCTCGGCTGCCTTTGACGAGATTACCCAGTGTTAAACGGCGCGCTTATCTGGCGGCTCGAGCTCTCCAACGCGCACTTCGTTGTGAATTGTCGTTGCTGCCCAACCTCGATTATTATCATATCAATAAGATAAAGTCTCGACTTCCTATCCAGGCCCCAGCTGACGACGCGCCCTTCTCCGGTAATTCGGATACAAGAAAGAATATGTACGTTGGTAACACGTTTATTTTGAGTTAGTCTGTCTATAACTCCTACGTATGTTTTGTCGAATAGTATCAAGTGGCACTAGGTCATAAGCCACTCTTCTTTTGAATCGTTAGCTTTTATGACGAAGGCGCCGGGCAAAATCGTAAAAATCCTTTCACTGCAAAACCATGCCAAGCACGAGCTGCGACAGTTAGATCAGTTTATTGTATTTTGTCAAGGAACTGAATTTTCTGTTTGGTGTTCTGCAGTGTCACTTAACGATACCAGCGTTTGTTAAGTGGTGGTTTAGAACATTGCATACTTTGTTTTTCAGCGCGACTTACAACTTATTTTCAAGAATATTTTCGAAATGGATCACGGCTAATTGTTTAAAATCGTGATCAACTTCATTTTAAAAGACGTTGCTCTCTTCGATGGCGACAAAAATCTTGTCTTTTTGACCGATACAACGTGATCACAAAGTTATTGAATTAAATACGATCGTGAGATAGGTCACTTTCAGATTGATAAAGGGACGATCGGTCACAAGAAAAAATCTAGAGCTCCTCGTGTTGTGGGAGTGCTTTAACTGCATTGTTTAATGCATACTTTATTTTAGCCGGTCAGCAATCTTGCCAATGCATCGACGTTTCGGTCCCATGTCTCGTACACTTCGTGCCTTTCTTTCTGAAGTCGACACCTGTGGAGGAGGAGGAGGAGACGCACCCACTACTGCACCAAGACGTCAACTGGCAGTTGCTGACCCTGCGATGCCTACTCTGAGTCCCCAGCCTTTGAACTCTGGCGCGTTTGGTATGAACACTCTACCAGTTGTGGGGGGAGATAGCCTTTCTTCTTCTTCCACCTCCGCTGCCCCTCCCGCCGTTTCGAACCAGCAGGCCGCCCACCTCTCAAGTGGGGCCAAACCGCCATGTTTGCTCAACTCACAGTTGCAAAACATAAAGGATGGTATCTCTCATAACATCAATTCAAAGCCAATGGACTGGGAAGAAACGCATGTGGCTCCTACAACCTACAAGGTGCGTCTGCTGCGTTTTTATACTTTGATGTCACTTAGTGCGAATCTCGTAATTAAAACTGGTCAGTCTATGGGAATATTTAATGGGAAAATGTCTCTATTGCGGAAAACTCCCCTTAGATGCAACCCGTACCAAATCATGTTGAGGATTTACTTGGCCTATACTTCTCAGTTTGAATTTGAAAACTGCGCTGAAACCCGTCAACATATTGAGTTCTGTGGTGTCGGACTTACCAATATGCTTATGTGCTATTATCCAGGCCAGTTGATTGAATCGATTTGGGAAGGCTGTCAAAAGCGATGTGTTGTCTAGATCAATTTAGGAGCAGGTATCAAACTCGTACCATGATTTTCTGTTCATAGTTAAAAAGTGATATTCGATGTGCTGGAGGAAGCATAAAAATGCTCTATTCCCAAGTTTTATTGCCAAATGTGGTTTAAAATTGAACAAAAAAGTCAACTAGCACTCATCAACGAAATTTAGGTCGGTGGGATTTTGTCATTGTCTCATTGTTGCTACAATTTGTTGGGATGACCCTAGAGACAGTAATAATCCAAGAAAATGGTCTCAAAATCATGTCCTTAAGTACTTACACGATTAATTTCAACCAAATGTAGGTAAAATGGAAACAAGGTTTTACGATATTGACTGACTTGCGCGTACTAATTTATCAGATCGGTTACCCTCATCTATCTATTATTTTAAGCTTCCCCGAGGCGTCGTACGAACCCATCAAGTTCATAAACAAGGGGGCATGTTGACAAACCCACCACCACCACAACCGCCCCCATTGGTGAGATCTGAAGCGTCAGGTGGTGAACAGTCCTGGCTTGCAGAACAAGTTTTGTACCACGTCTCAGAGCAAGGCAAGTGCGGTCGCTCTCACTTGCGCCGCCCCCCCTTGATCCGCATGAGCCTAATGGACCAAGTCAGTCCCCTCGAGCATCCATCTACTTCATTCCCTTCGGAGGTTATGCTGAAACAATCCTGCGTCAGTGATGAGATAGCGTAAGTTTGGTCCCTTCAGCAGGTCAATAGGCTTAGAAAGTCATATTTCTATTGACGGCCATTTCTCGAACTTGTGAACTGGTGGCTCAAACCCAGTTGGTGGTTAAAGTAAATCACAAACGTCAAGGTCCCCAAGCCAGCCAAGTTAATTGTTGAGTTGTGATTTCCCAGACTAGCCGCCTATCGGTCTGTACCAATTCGAACCCTTGGTATATACCAAATTTAATGGAACTTTGGCAGTATTCGCCCAGAAAATCCCTAACTCCACCACTGCCTAAACTATTCCAATCGTTAACTTCTGTTGAAACCTGGCTTGTTCCGTTTCAATTACTTTTACCAAAACTGCTATTTGCGTCGTAGAAAAGTCATCGGAAGTGTTAATCGGATAATCGTTTTCAAAACATAAGTGTTATTTTAATTCAATCTATGTTAATAATTATTAATGGTTTATTGAACATCGTCACAAAATAGGTCTATAGCTAGTTGTTTCCCGATTCTCCACTGTGGGCCTATAGCCAGATAGATCATGCGCCTTCATTTAAAATACTCGTTACTGCATGCAGAGTTGATTGTTGACATCCGGTGCCATTAGTTTCCCTTAATTTTTTTTTATCGCCTGCTAACCTAAATAACAGACGCCCCAAAATTAATTGTAGCAAGTGGTTAGCAAGAGTCCTTCGGACAGTAGTCCAGCGTAGACTTATCTCTGTTTAGGCGTTCCCAAAGGCAGCAATATCATTCACAATCGTCAGGTGGCCACCCGAGCGGAAGCACGTTCGGGACCCTGGTAGATTCACACGGCTTTGGCGCTGATGAGGCAAACTTCCACCCACAAGTCCAGCATCAGCAGCAGCACCACCACGCTTCCCAACCCTACTTCCACAAGCAAGATCTACCATATCTCACCAAAGATTCAGGTGCGTCAAGCATTTGCATATACTTTAAGGTATAATGCGCGACTGAGCGGTTTTTCTCTGAGGGTATTAATTGCATTCTAGGTTGGGTTAATTACTCTGAATGCATGATTTTTATAAGGAAATTGGATGTTCCCCTTTTGTTGAGTGTTCTAATAGCGGTACTTGTCGTGTGTTATGGAAATGGTAGGTCTTATGTTAAGCTAAATGTTTGTATCGAGCAAGTGTATTTTGAGCGTAAATGCTTCAGACCAGGAATGCACTTATTACATTTTGCTTTTTCTAGAGTAAATATAATCTCTTTTACACGTCAAAATAACAATCGTTACTTACTTTCCTACTTCGAAAAGATGGTGATTTTAAATATCTACATTAATTGCGAAATACTGCATTGTAGAGCCCCACACTCATGAACCTCACACCGCGCTTGATGGCTTTCATCGAACACTGGAGGATGAGCTCCATGGACCTGGTTCTAAGCTGGACGGCCATCCTAAAGGACCGGCTTTAATGCGTAATTTATCACGCCATGTACGTTGCACATTTTCCCTCCTGTTGTCAAAAGTTTGAGAGGTTTAAAGGAATGTTTGAGTAAATCTTCACTGATCTGAATTAGGATCTGCGTAGACGTCCGTCTGCTGCTTCTAACCACTTAACCTGTTCTTGAATTTGTTCTTTTGTTACATGTCATGGTCGTCGCGACCTGTTTTCACTTGTTTTTGCTTTTGTTGGCTTTTAACCCAATTGATTAACTCATGTCTCTACAAATTAGAGCAGTTTTAAGCAGCCGCAATACTAGAATGATTAAACAGCTCTGGACATTCTAGGTGTTTTGGATTTTCTCATAATCTTTTCAAAAGGCAAACCTCTGAATTCACTCACTTGACTAAGGTTAGTGTTATGTGTGACAATTTTACGGATAGGGTCATGTCATAATTATACTGTAATAACTCTATGAGTAGGTATCTTTGGAGAACATCAGTAGAACGTTGATGTGACTTTCTAAGTATTTTTTTGTGTGTTGTGCATCGTTTTATCAAATCTTTTTAATGCTTCAATGCCAGTTGCTCTTCGTACTAATTCATCTTCATCGTAAATATTTTTTTTCGATTTCAGATGCCAATCAGCGGTCGGAGTCTGTTTAGCTCTGGAGGTTCAGGTCACCTCGGTGCTGCGGAGTTGGCTACAATGTACCCTACGCCACCCTCCCACGAATCTGTCTTCTCTGTGGGCGCCGTCGGAGGCAGCTGCACCGCTCAACCCAGCCCCACGGAAACCAAACCACTTTTCGTCCCTGAATCCCACCATTACTCCCAGTCACCCATGGACGAGTCTGGCGGCGTGCCTGCTACGCGTCCGCGCCAGAAACAGGGTGTTGCTCACTCCATTCTACAGTCTTTCCTGCACAACTCGCGGCCCCTTTTCGACCAGAATGTAGTTTGCTCTCATTTGGTCAGTTTTTAATAGCTTTGTGGGGTCTCATCGCAGCGTTAATTTCCCTTGTACGCCACCTGACCACCGCTTAATTCAGCCCACTTCCACTAGCCCCGTAAACAGATCTGTTTGTGAATGGTCTTGTGGTACAAATGAAACAGATTTTCTTTCATCGAATCAATCTACACAACCATACTGATCACTTTGGCAAATTACACAATTCGTTAATTCGATAATCCAGATGTCGAGTAGAGCTCTGATCAAATTCTTAGACGTGTATTTGAAGCTAGACGTCTCGAGAAAGCTAACAGCCACCTCTAGCGTTCCAAAGAATTACCTATCATGAATGTACCCAATATTGAATTCTTGTTAGTTCAGTAGCTTGTGGTTATGTGAATGATAACCTCATAAATTGGGAGCAAAGCAAGTTAATTACTTACCAAGTAACCGTGACAAATCGGTCAGCCTGAAAACACGTTGTGCACTTGATTACATTAGCTCATGTAGGTGGTTTTGTATAGCTAGTATTTGTAAATGCTCGTCACACTTTCGAGTGTGTTCTATTCAAAATAAGTCGCCGAGTGTGACAGTGCGAAAATCAATTTTGTTCCACGTTTATTTTGTAGCTTTCATCGGTAAAGTCGAGCAGTAGCTTTTGTGGCTTGAAAAATGGTGCAACATCACTTGGCATGGGTCTCGACCCTGGTTGTGCTTACGCTGAGTTCAAGAAGAGCGAGAACTGTGAATTAGCAGATCTTGCACTGGGATTTTTTAACCCCCCGATTTTTTCTCAAAGAACGCTGTTATTTTGTTTTACTGCCATTTCGGTCGTTGACTGAAAACAATTTATCGTTGAAAACAATGCTGCCTGATTCTTTTGCATACTGTAACCCTGTCACAATTTTGCTAGAAGTCCGACTTGCATTTTTAGGAATGGCAGTTTATGTGCCCCCGTTCAGTGCAGATCCCATTTTCGGCCAAATTTAGAATTAGTCCAGAGGAGTTACAGCTGTACAAGGAAGTGGACATAGCCACCAGACCTCCCTTGGCCTTTCACCATCTATCCTTCTCAACGAATGGGAAGCAGGAGAGTCTTCTCGTCCTTCCTCGTCGCCCCCCTCTACCCCCTGTCCCCAGCCGTGCACCACACCAGCATCACCCTTCCCGCGGTCTTAATCAGACAGAATTGGTGTTTGATGAACCTGCTTCCAACACATTTGACCTTGATGAACTGCGCCGTAGTGATTCCCTTAAAGTCAACCTCATTCTCTCCGACTCCTTCCTGAATCTTTTTAAGGACCATAACTTTGATTCCTGCAATATCTGCGAATGTACCACCTCGGTTTTGGGAGTCGAAGTTGACGTCTACGTTTCTTCACCAAATTCTGCCCCTACGCGTTCCTGTAATTGTGGTTTTTCGACTTTGGTAAATCGGAAATATGCTTTAGCGGGAAACCTGTTTTGGGAGGATGAATCAGAGGTTGCAAGTCTTTCAATAGCTGGTGTGGAGGGTAGAAAAACTCACTCAAGACCTTTGTCGACGTATTCGACTGCGGCAAATTACCTCCCCACCCTAACGCAATGGATGCATGGTCCACTTGAAGAGTTTGGGGTCAGATTCCTGATTGAATGGCTCCAGCACACAGATGCAGCACTCAGGTTGGACGATCAGCCCGAAGGAACTCTGGAAAAAGATGCTCTTTACGACTACAGTGGTATGTTTTGCCGTCTTTTTTATGTGAACACTTGACCACCTTATCAAAATCGCAACACAAGTACCCTGGCCTTCGGTTAGTGAGAGATATTTCAGTTTTAATCACGTGTAGTCAATTTCATATTTCCGTGCAAGACGTGCCCCCTTTCATAAGCATTGTCATCTTATAATCGTCTGCAGCGATTCTCGTTCCAATTTTATCTTTGGTGGAACTTTAAAACCCAAGGTGCACTCATTCAGTCCATTCAAACCGTGGACTCAGGTAAAGGTCTTTTCAAAATAGTTTTGGACGTTTAATGGTTCACGCAATTAAAGTTTACCACTTCGCCAATTACGTTTGTCGTCACTAGTGGGTGTATGGTTTTGTCGAAATCACTTGCACAAACTTGAACGGCCACACAAAGCGCAAATTTCTAATTTTTATTCCTTGTTGCCACCTTTCATTTGAAGTTTTTTGGCCATGAAAGGATGTATTTTTTCATACCGATGGCACCATCAGCTATTAGCTATTTCCCAGGGTATTTGGAGTGCATTTTGTGCAGGTTTAGACAATGTTGCAGATATCATTATGAAACGTCCGGTCTGTTTTCCACATCCTCCAGGACAACGTCTAGCCCTTTTAGGTGAAAGTGATCGACGTAGTAATCATAGTAATGATCATGTAAGAACTTGTGCACGTGGGTAATAAAACCTAATTTGGATTTTCGCTGAGTTAATTTATTACCTTTGGGTTCTTAGATTAAGTGGGAATGCTGTCTCGTCGGCCTGATTTTTTTCGTGTCTGTTTGTTTTAGGTAAAACAGTAGCATTTCGGTTAACTAAATTATTCCTCACCAGATTGGGGAAAATCCTCATTTAAATGGTGTAATGCTTAGTGGCCGTTATCATTATGTGGTGAATCGTGTTGATTCACTGTTTACTCAACTTAACATTGTCTCATTAAGTCCCGTTTGAAAACACCAACTGGCTTAGTAGCCCAGGAGCTTGTCGATTGGATCGATAAATCCGACATGCTGGTCCCCTAAAACTCGTAATTTCGTCTATTTATATGGGCTACATTTTCTAGTTATAACTTCATAATGCAGGACCATAATAGGGTTTAAGATTTCTAGCAAAATTCATCACTATATCTTTTGCCCCTAAAGTCCAGTCAACTTCCACTTCCAAACGAGGTGTTGATTTAAGCTTACCTAAAGTGACCAGCTTTGTTTATTAGTTATTACTGGCAAATGTTATTGTCTGTATATGTGCTTGCAATCAAGCCTCCCCGTATTTATTGTCAACAGTTGCGTTACTCTGCTGAACTTTTTCTTCACAACCCACAAAAGTGCAAAGGTCCTCTTGTGTGCTTGGAATACATGAGTGCTTTTTGCATTTTCAAGATATCTGCGCCCTGACTGCTTCTGCTTTGGAGCAGAGCGCTTGTGATCCTCCGTCCCTAACGGAGGGCATGACGGGGGATTTTGCGGTGAGAGTTGGTGGGAGACAGCTTCGCCTAGATGAAACAACGCACAAGGAAGGTGTAGTCCTTCATCCGGCTTTCTTTCGTCAGTTACCTGGTGATATTCCTTCTAACAAAAATGATCAAATTCGGCTTCTTGGTGTAAGTTTCCACCCTTCTCTCAAATTCCCTAAGCTAGTAAAACGATCATCTAATATCCATACGTCCCTCTCACTATGTTTATATATGACGGATTAGTCGTTGGTGTCGCCCAAAATATTTACTCCATAGGGGAATCTCAAGCTAATTCGATGCCTAATTTGTGCGAACGGGCAAAATTTCAGGGCTGCAATGTCAGTTGACTTAATTTTGTTAAATGATCCAACTAACTACTATGTTCCGTTTCACCTTAGACTGATTCCAGCACTGAAGTAAGCTAGGATCATCGTAATTGGTCATTTGTTACACATACCTCGGCGCGCAGCATTGACCGATTAAGGTTACTTGCACCCTCTAGGTTGTAATTAATTGTGCTATCAATCTTGACAGCGAGTTAGGTCCGCTCATGCCTCTATCCTACTTTGAGATAAGTCCCCCTTTTCGATCCAGAGTGTACGGCTGTGGTTGCAGGAGGCAATAGACCTATTGGAGTCTACCTACAAGGTTGAAGGCCCGCTTACCTGGAAGGCGTTCCATCAACTTGCTGGTCGTGGACGCAGCGAATCCTCCAAGGCTCAACCCATCCCTCAGTTTCGAGTTGGCGGGGGCGCGAACAATGGAAAGACTAACGTTCTTATCTCACCATTTAGTGTTCACGACTGGGTACGTCTTTTGACATAAATTTTTCACCATGTACCGTTAGTTCTTACTTTAAGGCGAGAGTAGAAGATAAACGAATGCATCCCTGTGTGCCAGTTATCAAGGACCTAAGTTTTGTTGATTGTCTGTGCACTTCGGTGTCGCGACCCGAACAAATGAGACTCAAGTGTGCAGCTCATGTTGGCAAACGCTCATCTCGCTTAGTTGTCTGGAAAAATGCAGCGTCGTAGATTGAATTGAGGAGGCTAGGTTTTGGCAAAAGTGCCTCGCTGCGCCCGTGGCTCGACGCAACTTTGGTTTGCTGCACACGATGCGTTTGAAGTAGTGATGAGGTTGTGCCTTGGAAAGGCATGGCACTGTTGGCAGTAGCAAACTGAGACCTCGAAGTTCCGAAAGTATACTTGATCACTTAACCGTCGGAGCTGTTCACTGGGATCTCACGAACCAGCA